ACCCATAACTGTAAGCAAGAGGGGGAGGGGAGCAGAGTTATGGTTGGGCTTTCAGCCTTAATTCTGGTTGCAAGAGCTCTGAATGCTTGGTTTGTTAGCATTAATGTTGCAGTAACTTAGGGTATTTTTGCATGGGAGTGTATGTGTTTAACCAACTAAGCATGAAATCCCTTGCTTCTGTTTGTCCCTATTAAATAGTGGCAACAAAAGAAACAGACAAGAGATGGGTCCAGAACAAAGCAGAAATAATGGAGTATTTCACCCCAAAAAGGAGAGTGAAACGAGAAGTACAATGAGTAGGGAAGGACAGACTCAGTGGCTGGAGGCAGTGTAATGTGTTGGAGAGAGTAGTAATTCAGGGATGTTTGGTGCCCAGAGCTTCAATCTGTGATCTGAGTGGTACATATATCTTTTTTGCTGCTGCTGCTATGGACAGAATAATGCTTTCCCCAGAAGAAATATCTGTACTGCTTTAAAGGGACATTGTCTAAGATTGTCAGCTCAGATATTGATCCACCTAAAACTGGAATCATCTGGTTGGGATATAAATTTGTAAGCAGGAGTAGGACTGGCTAACTTCTTCACTTAGCTCTTGTATGATGTTATGTGCATGTGAAGCATGCATGCACCAACACAAGTAAAACAAAAGTAACAATGGTGCTGAATATTGCGGAGTTTTCTGTGGACTGTAGCACCTAATTATGCCTGGTTTCCTTGATAAATACATCCTTATTTCCAAGACTGGCTAAATGCATACGCTTTTAAAAGACACAATATTGGGTTTTTCAGTACTTTAAAATCTGCTCATTCATTTAAAAACAAACAAACCAACTAACCCTCCTGACTCTCCTGGCCTGCATCTCTGCCTGCTGCTTATCCCCATCCAGTGACTATAAATAGAGTTTTGGATATGACATTATCAAAAGTCATGAAAACTGACACTTTGTTTTACATGTTTCTCTGTTTAAAATAACTAAGATCTTACCCTGATAGGATGAAAGGGCTCAAAAAAAAATGCTGATCCTTTTTTGTCGTGAGCAGTGGGACTGAAACACATGACCATACCCCAAGCAACACTTCAGTGACTATGCCGTCTAGCTCTATTTGACCCAGTATTTTGGATAGTCAGGTGTTTTTCTTCTGCCCTCTCCAACACTCCCTTCGAGTGGCCTCATTTGGGTTTAGAGTTCGTTTCATAATATCTAGAAGGCACCCTTTAATTTGACAGTCTCTCATCGAGGAAAATCAGGTTTGGGCATCGATGGAAGACACTTCCAGGTCCATATTTGACAAGTGTTTCAAGACTAGTCAGCCTGTGATTCAAGTTTCTCTTATGCCCTTTGACTTGTCCAGGTGGGAGTGGAAAGTACACCAGTTCTGGAAAGGACTGAGTGCTAGTTGTGAATCAAAAAACTCAATCTTTTTGATATATTTGTGTTTTGGATTTCAGAAATAGCTTCTTCAGTTACTAATGCACATTTCTTTCTGTTCTGTGCATTTCAGACTTCACTGTAATGTGTGATAACATCTTAAGTGATATTGTAGCTCTAGTCCATGTTTTATAAAATATTTCAGGACCCATTTCCTGTCCATAACCGAAAGTAAAATAGAGGATGTAATTTTATTTTCATGGTCACTGACCTCTGAAATTTCTGCTGTCCCCAGATCTCTTGCAGCTACTAGATGAAGCTGCCAGAGTTGTGATAATAGAGGTTTAGTCTCTATAATGGATCCTTAGGTAGCTCTGACTTTGTTAGGGACCAAGTAACTTTAAGCTGCTGAGAGTACAGGAAAGCAGTGATCAAACTGTTTGTATAGTGGTATGACCAATGGAAGAGATGTTCATCGAGCTTGAGTAAAGAAGATTGCAAAACGGGTTTATAAAATTTAAATACTGTGTTACATGTATCCCTAAAATATGCTGTAGAATTTCACATGACAGCCAGTGGTAAGTGCTATACACAGCAGATTAAATTTTAGCAGCTTCTTGAAGGTAGAATATTTAAAGTTTGTTTTCATGCCAACCAAACAAAAATATCTACTGAAGATAACTAACCTTGCAGAAGAACAAAGTCACAAATATAACAAAAATAGGGGAATCTTATCCAATAAAGTGCAAGAGTGGTCTGGAGGGAGCAATTTCCATGTCTTCTGGGGTTCTGTGTGTGTTCTATCAGAAATTTTCATACCTAACTGCTTACTGGTGAAGATTGAGCGAGTGGGTGGTGGGCCTGCATATGCTGCTTTGGAAATGCAGTTTGACCTGGATTTTTGACCATACATTTGTCAGCAGCATGTGAAGATTCTCCAGACTAACTTAGACTTAAGAAATTTGCACTGAAGAGTTACTGAACTTCACAAAACCAGCCTGCAAAACCCCACTGTCACCTCCAGAGCCTCCACATGTGTTCTACAAAGAGCAATAATTATCTTTGTCAGAACTGCAGGTTATTAAGCTGTCAGGACTGCAAGAGTCGTGTCTGCTTGCATAAAAACTGGCAGTGTCTGGACAGAGAGAAGCACAGACTTCCATCAGCTCACCTACCCCTTTGTTTTTCAATATGCCATCCATAAGTTGTTGCAAAGATACCGTGCTGATGGGGACAAATTTAATCCTGTTTTTTAAAGACTGGCTGCAAAGGCCTGACAGCCTCTGGAGCTCTGGCAAGCTTCGAAGAATTTTATATGGCCTTCAGCCTGATACCCATTAAGTGGAAATGCTGTTTGAAGGAGCTTATGTTGTGCAATAAACTCAACTGACCTTTCTCACTTAAGTATTAGAGTATTTGCTGTGTATTTGTAGAATCTGTGAGATAAATATAAACTGACGTCAATGAATAAAGCTAGAAGCCATGTCTACTCTGTTTAGCTACAGACACACATATAAGGGCAAGCCTTCTTGAAAAAAATATTTTTTTTAAGGCAAATTTTAATAGAGGCAAAACTTTTATTTTTAAAATCAGTTGCCTCTGTTCAGCTTAAGTTCTGCTGTAAATGTTTTTACTACTAAAATATTTTCTTTCACATTTTTAAAAGGTCTTGAAGGACTTTTGTTACTTTCTCTGAAGTTATCATTTGTTTTTTTTAAACCAGTGAGTGCTGTTTTGGCAGCATGTATAATAAGTTACCTTCTATACAGAAAGAATCCAATAAAAGTTCTGCATTCAGCAGGCTATCTTTTCATAGATAGTCATGTTCTCTTTGGATGACTTGCTCACAGAGCCAGACCCCACTATGAGCAACAGTACCTCACTGATGTCTGTTCCGTTTCTCTGCTCCTTCAGTAGCCGTGAAAGAGACATCCTGGATAGCTGTATAGACAAACTAGGGTATGGTTGTAAAGACTGGATTTCTTCACCCAGTGTGGTGATTGGCTTGTGAGTAAGATAGGCAGAAAGAACTGGGACTATGTGAAGGCAGAGTGTGTGAGAGAGGAGTGATTGCACAAACATGTTTTCCCTTCCTTGTAATAGTGGATGTATTCCTCTGATAGGAAGGTGGCAGATACTTGGGAAAAAAAGGTATTTATATGTATTGGAGTGGTGGAGGTCTAACCTGGATATTAGCAGGTAATTATACCCCACGCCTTGAACATAAACTTCCCAACTTTCCAAGAATGGTATGAGTTTTGATTTTTGTAGAAAACTTCCATATTACATATAAAGAAAGGCCTGAAGAACCTTATTAAGGGCTTAAAGGAACTTTTGGATGAGCTTGGCATGCTTTTGCAATACTGTTTAAGAGACTTGAGAACTCTAGCCTTTGTGTAAGAGGTTTTTATTCTTTATGTAGTGATCAATTTATACTTACTCAGGAAAAGTGAGAGACTTGCATATTTTTGACAAGAGCTGCCTCCAGCAAAATTTCTTTACAAGCCGTACTCCTTAAGAGCTGATACTGTAATGTAAAACACATGATAAAGAAAGCCTAGGAAGAACATCAATGGAGCAGAGTTCTCTGATTCTTTCCTGTGACAACAGCTAGGGCCTGGCCAGCAGCTGCTCAGGACCTGCTTTGATGTTCACACCAGGTATTGCACAAAATTACCACAGGAAGCAAACTCACGCATACCTAACCACAGAGTTGAGTAAGGCACATGTTATCTCTCTATATGTGCCCTGTTTATAGAATCAGACAGTTGTTTTGATTGGAAAATACTTTTCAGGTTATAAAGTCCAGCCGTTAACCCAGCACTGCCAGATCCCCACTAAACCATGTCCCTCAGCACCACATCTACATGGCTTTGAAACTCCTCCAGGGATGGGGACTCCAACAGTGCCCTGGGCGGCCTGGGCCAGGCCTAGGCAACTTTCAGGGAAGACATTTTTCCTGACATCCAGTCTAAACCTCCTCCATCACAACTTGAAGTTGTTTCCTCTTGTCATATCACTTGTTCCTTGGGAGAAGAGGCTGATGCCCACCTCACTACAATGTCCTTTCAGGGAGTTGTTGAGAGCGAGAAGGTCTCCCCTGAGCCTCATTTTCTCCAGACTGAACAACCCCAGTTCCCTCAGCTGCTCCTCAAAAGGCTTGTTCTCTAGACCCTTCCCCAGCTTTGTTGCCCTTCTTTGGATGTGCTTCAGCCGAAGGGATGTGCTTCAGCCCCCCAACATCCTTCTTGGAGTGAGGGGCCCAAAACTGAACCCAGTACCTGAGTTGCAGCCTCACCAGTGCTGAGTCCAGGGGGATAATCTGTGCCCTAGTCCTGCTGGCCACACATAGTGCTGTGAGCTGCCTCAGCACAGTTTCAGAGCTCAGCAGTTACACCAGTCAAGAAATGAACGTCACTTTCCTCAACCCAGCGCCATGAGGTTTAGGTGAAAAGTTGAGAAGTATCTTTATATTTTCTTTTAAAGCTGATACAGGTTTTAGTTGAGGTGGTCTCAGTCAATTAATTGTGATTTTGTAAAAATAAACTTGATTTTAGTACCTTGTTCAGTAGACATTTGCAAAAAGAAAAAAAGTAACTTTATTATGTTTCTTTTTCCTTACCCTGGCAGTGTTTTAGAGCACTTTGCTGCAAGGGACCGCCACCACCACGACCTGAATATGACTTGGTTTGCATAGGCCTCACTGGTTCTGGCAAGACAAGTCTTCTGTCACAGCTTTGCAGTGAAAGCCCGGAGAATATAGTCTCTACCACAGGTAGGACGCTGTCTTTATTCCATGGTGTGCAGTAACATTGCCATAAGGTACCTTTTGAAACATATACCAACAGTTCAGTTACCTTGCTGTTGAAAGTACCTAATGGTTTGCTTTGAAGCTACCACTATTTACTCTTTCAGTATTTGGTCATACATTGGGGAAAATCCATGAAAATGTACTATTTGGAATGTGTTGAATGTCAAAATGTACATTGTGGTGTAACAAGGTAGAGTCATTGGAAGCATACAGTAGCAGTTTAATGTAGAGACACATTATAAAGTTTTTCATCTCTTTTTACTTTTTTTTTTTTTTTAAGAAGTCTTGTTATATGGACAGAAAAGAGGAGAATGTGCTATGATGTAGAATGGGACAGTGATGCTCTAAAACCTAAGCTGGGATTTGTCTATTGTCATACTTAGTCAGTACTGCCTTGTGGTATAAGCTGGAAATCAAAAGAATAATTCTAACAGAAATGTTTACCTCTGGTTACAATCCTTTCTTTTTAGATCAGCAAAGAGTCTTGTTTATATAGGAAAGACAGGCTGAAATCAGAGAATCAATTTACAAAAAGTTTCAGTGGCTTTGAGAAGATACAAGATACATTAAAAAATACAACCACCACAGCTAAACAGTATCTTAAAGTCCAAAAACTTCGAATATGCATGCTGATAAGCCAGAATGCCCAATACTGAAAAAGGTATTTTGATTTAAAGCAATCAAACAAAACCCAAACAAACCAAAACACCACCAGAAAATCAGAAACCAACACGTGGAGTGAGAAAAAGGTAAACCTGGCTACAAAGTTCAAAAAAAGGGTGGATGAGATCATAGAGGTGGAAGGTATCTGGTTCTGTGGCAGCAGCGATTTGCTGAGGGAACCGGTGGTGAGTGTTGTGTGAGCAACTTGTTTATGGGTACAGGGCTTTATACTGTGTCTGTAATTCCTGGGCTTCAGTTTTATGTTTGTTCATTAGCAACCCTTAACTGATTTTCAGTGTATCTGTGTTTCAATTAAAAGAACATAAAGTCATTTATTACAAGTGTAAGTACACAAAGTAAAACAGGTACAAGCAAATATTTGTTTTTCCTGCAATGAATAATTAACCCATTGCTTTCACAGTGGTGTTACTAGGACTGTTAAAGAGATCTGACTCTTCATGATGTGAGGAGATGTCAATGCCTAACTCAAAACTTAGAAGAAAATTTCAGAGTATTTCAGCCTTTTTTTTTTCTCTCTCTCCTGAGCTTTATCTTTAGACTTCACCTAGAATTACTGCGAGATATACTTTAACAGTTTAGACCCTGAAAGAAATAGTAACAGCAGTGTGAATATTCACATAGCTCTATCAAAGGAAATAATGTGAATGTAATTTATTTTAAAATTAAATTTCTTACATGTTTCTAGATAGATGCAACAAAATATCATTATTTAATTAGGCAACTTGAGGAATGAAAATGGACTCTGAAGAAAACTGGGCAGCATCCAAACCAAAATGATGCATATCTAGGCTTATTCACGTATGGCAAATCTACCTGTAGATACTGTATGTGTGCTGTATCAGAAAATATTTGTTCAGGATGCCAGAATACAATGTGACAACTTCTCCAGTCAATTTTCAAACTATAACCTGTATTTTTGCTTTTCTCATCAGGACCACTCAGGTCCGTTCCAGTTTTTCATGTTTTTTTTTTTAAAACATCATATTGAAACTGAATTTCATATGCAAACTCCTGTTTTTCAATGACAAAAGTAGCATTTTGTGAATGTATGCAATTGATCTCAAATGTCATCTTTAACAGACAGCTTACTGATGCTCTTTATTTCTGTTTGCAGGTTTTAGTATAAAAGCAGTACCCTTCCAGAATGCCATCCTGAACGTAAAAGAACTTGGAGGTATAGGATTTATTTGTTTGATTATAAAAACATGCCCGGTCTAAATCCCATTATATCAAACTATTATTTGTTTTAAACTTAAAACTGATAAATGTGATTGGAATTTAAAACCTGTGTTTCACCACAGCAGATAAAGTTGGGGGAAACTGTTCAAATGCCGATTACAAATAATGAAAAGTAAAAAGCAGGAGTAGTGGAAGGTGGGATAACTGTGGTGTATCTTTTTATATGTAATTTCTTGGATTTCAGTGGTTAAGTTATACAGAAATAGAAACTGGAGGGTAATTGTAGTACAGCTCACATGGTAGATTAAGGAATTGTGTTCTTTGTCTTTACTGTATATATAAGCTTTTACTTAACAAGTAACTATATGAATATTTGGCAAATTCAGTATATTTGCTGATGCAAATGGTATTGCAAAGGCAGCCAACTTCCAATGAGTTACATTCCATGAAATCTATTCTCATGTTGGATTTTTTGGGTTTTGGAGAGGAGGTTGTTTTATGGTGTTGTTTTTTTTTTTTTTTTTTAATTGTCTATGTACAGCTATTTGTCTGCCCGGTTCTGACCTTCAGTCTTAAGAGATCAAGAGGTACCTCTGTTAAAATGAGAGTATTTGTGGAGTCTTAACTTCATCTAATATTCTTTTAATTAAAAAAAAAGTATATATTTTTTATATTCTAGAAATTCTTTATTATCTGTGTAAATATAGTAGAATGAATCTTGAAGATGCTCATTAGATTTTCAGCAAGGTTGAAAGCTCTCTTAAGTGCTCTAGGGTGGAAGTTAAGTTGACTATTGAAAGAAGTTCCATGAAATCAAGTTTCATGATATTTGTCATAACTAAAACTGTTGCAAGAAGGCTTTGAGATAAACACATACTAGAAGTGTAGCATTTCCTCTTCACTACCGCTGGTCCATGGATTTAGACATATACATCCTTGTTTGAGCAGTATTCTCTTAAGAGAAGCAGAAGTTTTCTTTCATAAAGGGACCACTGCAGAGGGATGGTGTTGGTTCTGCTTGATAGTGTTGGTTATGCACTCACCATAAGAGGGATGTGTTTGAATGAGTCCAGTGGAGGGCCACAAAGGTGATAGGGTTGGAGCATCTCTGCTATGAGGACAAGCTGAGGGCACTGGGATTGTTCAGCCTGGAGACGAGAAGACTCCAGGGGGACCTTGTAACTACCTTCCAATACATGAAGGGAACCTACAGGAAGGCTGGAGAGGGACTTTTCACAAGAGTGTGTGGCAACAGGACAAGGGGAAATGTTTTTAAACTGAAGAAGAGTAGGTTTAGATCAGATTTTAAGAAGTTCTTCAGTACATGGATGGCGAGACTGTGGACTAGATTGCCCAGAGACGTTGTGGATGCCCCCTCCCTGGAGGTGTTTTAAGGCCAGGTTGGATGAGGCCTTAAGCAACCTAGTCTAGTTGAGAGGCATCCCTGGCCTGTCCCATGGCAGGGAGATTGGGTTAGATGATCTCTAGGGTTCCTTCTAACCTAAGCCATTCTATGCCCAGTTTACATATTCATCTCTATGAAATCTGTAACTTGTATAGGAAAATGTAGTTTTTGCATCAAGAATTGACTCTTGAGTATCCTATAGCAGATCCTTGTTAAAGTCTCTTTCTTAATCTTTTCTGAACTTTTATCTTATGCAGTTACGTGTGTTATATAAAAACTTATCTCAGTGGAGCTTTGTCTCATGATAGGGTGTCCTGAAGAGGTACAGAGTATTTGATGTGGGTTTTTTTCACCCGTTTATCTCTTCCCAAAGACAGGATTGTCAAAATTTTTTCACTCTACCTTTTTACAGCTTTTCCCTTTAACTATGGTTTTTTACATGTCTCTGCTTAGAAATGGTATTGTCTGTTTTTTTTATGAGGTATTGGAGAAAAACTCTAATTCTGATAGCTTTTCATTGCCTGTGTAAGGGAGCTAAGGCAAGCTTCCAACTGTTTGTTTTTCTTCCAAAAGTTGATAGTCATAATTTAATCTTCTAGTGGGTGATGCCTTCTTACTTGCTGAAGGTACAGCCTTCTGAAGTGTGCATGATATGACTCCTGCTGCTGTATGAAAATAAGAAAAGCATCTTCCATATTTAATCACTGCTCAGGTTTATTTTGGAATTTCTGCTTCTGATGTGGAAGAGAACACTATGTTTTCGTTCTTATTCCTGGTTTTTGCTTTCAGTTCTTATGGTATTGTTATTGAAGGTCTCTTTATTGTAGTGTGGAGATCTTGTCCAGGCGTTTGATCTTGGAAACTTGGAGGAAGTAGAAAGGCATCTGCTTGGTAGAAGGCATCACTGTTCACTGTTGAATGCTATTCAAAGGTTGAAGTTCTGTATAATTTTAATTTCTGATACTCTGTTTTAAAATTGTCTTGTAGCTTTAGGTAACTGAAAACATCATAGGTCTTCATACAGCAATTTGACAGCCAATATTTTACAATCTTACAGCAGAAATCATACCGTTTAAGGTTCTTGTATTCAGCAGCCAAGCAGTTACATGAAAGAAATGCTGACTGCTTGGAATCCCTTTTGTTTGGTTGAAGCAGCATCCTTCCTCAAGGAAGGCGGTGCTGGTTTTCACTGCGCTAGTTGACTTCTGGAGCTCCTAAGGAAGCCGGGTTTTATTTCTTAATTTCTGTAAGGACTGGAAATTTTCAGCTGAAGTGTGTAGAAAACAGTCTCTCTTCTTTTGTCTGTTCCTAGTCTGATTATCTCTTAATTAGCCTTTAGGATTAGGGACATGAGGCAAAGTTTGCTGTGCTCTTTTTGCAGAAATTTCTATTTGGAGTATGTGATACTACTTTTTTTTTTTTTTTAAAAACTGATGAAAAAAAAAAAAAAAAAAATTTTTTTTTTTTTAGTTGTGTTTGTTTCTGAGTGTTAGGCAGCTTTCCTACCAGAAAATAAGGGGTTTGTCCAAATAAGGCTTTTAAAAAATGTTTGAATTTGATCCTGAATAAGTAAGAATATATAGCTTTCAAACCAAACATAGACCTGCTTGAACTACTTGAAAAGGAGGTCTTGCTTTATTTACTAAGTTGAACTGCCTGTCCTCTAAATTTCTCTTTGGATCTACCAATAATCCCTTCCTGTTTCTTGAGAAGAGGAAAAAAAAAAGACATTTTTTGTAAAAAAAAAAAAAAAAAAATTAGTCCATAAAATAATGTGTGTAATTCAGAGTACTGTGACAACGTGCTGTGCACCAGTCCACATTGTTTCAGAATGTACACTCACTAAAGTAACTGGAAATACCTCTATTTCCAGAATATGTATCCACCATTTATTCAGTGTGTCTGTTCAGTCTCTTGCTCTTGTAATGCTGTCAAAACAGAACACAAAGTCTTCGTGTTTGTTGTGACGTAGGTAATTATTCAGGCCTGAATTGAGATTTTAGGTCCATTCTGGAGGTTGGCTAATAACTTACAGGGTTTTTTTTAGAATCAGTCTATTTTATAATTTAGTTTGTTATCTTGTAAATGCAGGCTTAGAAACTATGGGTGAGATGCCAAATACTGAGTGTGGTCAAATTTAAAAGATTTATTCTGGATGGGAACAGCTCTTTTTCTTCTCACCGAGTTTAGAAATACTAACAACATGTTGTAGGGTTTAGTAACATCCTCTATCTTATGTAGTAAAACATATTGTCGTATGTTTGTGCTATGCTTGTGTAATCCACCCAAGGGCTTTTTTTACAAGCATAGAGCATTAATATGTTGTGCAGTCATCTTTCAAACTTCGTTTAAGAAAAAATGTGTAAAGTGCTTAGCAAGAACAGAGTGGTTAATATCAGGGATGCTCGAGTCTCCAGTTGGTTGAGCATGCCCAGGAAAAGAGACATGGGAGCTGTCCTCCCCACTGCTGTTCCTCCTTAAGCTTCATGACCCAAGTTATAAATTCACAGTCTTAGGCAAGCTATATTAATTGTCTAGGTGAGAGCTCGAGAACGCACAACTTTAAATAGGATTGGTTAAACAAAGCTTGCGTAGTTTGCCTTAATTTGGAAGTAAACAGCAGAAGAAGAGGGAGTAGGAGGGGGAGTCACACTGTCATGTGATCCAAGTTGAATGGAAAATATGAACTGCCGGAGAAGATGGCAACAGTTGTCAGGTAGTATCTGCCTAGTGAAAAAATGAGGGAGGAGGGAGAAAATAATGTTGAGCTATTAATTAGGATCTAAAATCTGAACAGTTATCAGAAACCACTCTCATCCTTTGGTCTGTGGAGGCAGAGTGGAATACTGAACACTATTCTAGCAATACAGACTGGCAGAGCAGCTAAAATTTCATCTAATTAGTCATCAGAAAACTGATCCTGCAAGTGAATGACAGCATAAGTCATCTTCACCAGGGCCACACAAACAATCAAATTTCTGTACTGTATTTGATTAAAAGTCACATCTACAAAATCTGGTTGTGGAGTACATGCAGTGCCATCTGTGACATAGCTGTGTCTAACAGTTTACAGAATGTCTTTGCAGATGAAATTTTTAGATGACCCTGATGAGCTGTCCAAGCTGTGAGCTGCACGGAGACATTCAGCTTCTGAAAGCATTGAAGTCAGATCTGTTTGCTATCAGTCATACTCAGCCTGCTGTTCAAATAATGCCTAAGCCCAGGCTCTGTCACATAGTTTCCTCCTTTCATAGATAAGAGAGATCGCTCACACCTGCTTGCAGGACCTGTTAATGTGAGTCCTGAGGAAGCTCCGAAAAGGATTCAGCATAGTGATCTTCCCACTGTTCTTTGGAAATACAGATTTTATTTCTACAATTAGCTTTGTACAGTGTGGATAGACAGCCTGCTGCCTATCTTACTCAAAACAAGTATGAGCTGTGCAAGCAATGCCTATTGAACAATATGATAAGCAAAACACAGAATTTCTTAGATACATTTTTGGTGGGGCAGGGATGGGACTGGTTGTTTTTGTTGATGCGACATTTTGTGGAGAGAAAAGTGGTTTGCTAAAAACATTATCTTCTGTT